TAGCATCCTGGCCTGACCATGGAGCATACTGGACTGATCATGGAAATGAAATCAGCGAAGCGAGAACTGCTTGCTGTTGATAAACATCTTCCTCTACAAGAACTGATCGAACGGCTTATTTCACGCTCACGATGCAACAAACCAGAAGAACAGCATATACTTACCCTTAGTACCTCTGAGCAAGCAGACAACCGAATTTGGAAACTGCTGCACGCTTTTTTCTCAACACACCTCTTTTTTTTGCAATGACCAACCTCTGCTAGCACGTGCTTTGAAAGACCAAATAAGCTTCAATTGCACACTACACATCCGGCAATCGGCTGGAAGAAAGAAAGTCGGAAAATGAACAGAGAGAATTCCAAAACATTAACGAACAGATAATGTAGGCGATCACAGCAATGGAACGTGTGTGATAACAAACTGGGTTACAGCGAATCGTACGAATTGGGATCGATTGGTGGCCGCTCATCATCGATTAGCTTATTCGTTGCACGATTCGAAGTCCTTTTGCTTTTAATCTTAACCCGTTTCGCTGTATCCGTTTTTCCAGCTGATGCTTTCATCCTTGATGATTTTGTTGGTTTTGACGGCTTTGTTTTCAAATCACCGGTCCCATCTCTGCTTCTTTTTGTTTTCAAATCAGCCTGAAACAGACGATAATGCAGGGGTTATTGGATAGACTCAGCAAAGACACCAATACAAAAAGGTGTTCTCGAGAATAAGTGTTCGAAATTTTGATGAATATTCCAGAAAAAGCTAAAATTCGCGAAGCGAATTTTAGAACACATTTTAAATGAAGAGCGGATGACTGTATGCAAGTCGACAAACAAATTCGCAAACTCCACTACAAAATTCAAGGGCACTTTTACAAATTTAAACACTCGCATAAAAATCCAACAAAAACGAAATCATTCTCACCGAATGAGATGATGATTCGGCCTTCGGATGTTTCGCTGGAACAGAACAACTGCTGACAACAGCAGATCTGTTTTCAGCAGAGCTCTCACTACCGGAATCGGAAGATAACGGAACAGCCAGAGGATTCTGGCTCAGATCAGTAGCATGCTCGAAGCGTGCAGCTTCTAAAAATCATTATGCACAAGATTCACTGCAAATGCATTTACTTCGTTATAAAACACTGCAAAAATTCGCTGCTAACTTTCAATTTCAGGCGAATTCATAAGATCGTTTTTGACTGGTGACGTGCGAGGTGCAGACAAACTCCTTCTATTTCCGGCGTGAGGGAAGACATCAAATAAATAGCGCAGCCGGTGCGAACATGTGTTCTTTGCAATTACGCCCATCGAACGATTGCGTGCTAATGATATTCACTGCTTTGCACTTTGTCTGCGCGAAAATAGTCCAGAAGTTGCGGAATTTCCCATTAAAAATTTCGCGCAACGGTACGTGAAAACAGGATTTGAAACCTCGAAGGATGAATTATCCTTCCAAAATTTCTATCTCCTAATTTTCTGGTTTCCGAATGATTTTTGAGACAAAACTTTCATGTGTTCGTACGTGAGATCTCGGCATAATTAGGAACGGAATTCGAGTTCGTGAAACCCATGCTTAGGTAGGAAACATCCTCCAGAAATT